GTTGGTGACAAGCTGTTCTTTGATAAACGTGATACTGGTGGCTTCTCGAATCCTGTTGGTATGTTCTTTCATTGTTATTGAGATATCTGACCCTATACTAAAATTTTTCCTGACCTAGTCGGAAAGCTAGATAAGAGACTGTAGTAATGTTTTATACAAAATTAAAAAAAAATAAATAGCAACGCGCATCAGACCAGCCGGTGCGATCATGCGTTTTGTGCAATTCAGTCCATCGAATGATTGCCTATCAATGATTTTCACTGTTTTCTACTTTAGTCTATGCAAAGGTAGTTCAAACATTGAAAAACAGTTAAAAATTTCACGCACCAGCGCATGAAAGCTGAATTCGAAACCTCGAAAGGTGAATATCTTTACCTCGAGTTAATAGTTTACCCGCCAAAATCTTCATGAGGCCGTAGATGATACTCAAGAGCGCGGGGACGCTGAATTTGAATGGTCAAGGTTGAACGTAGGCAGGAGGTCATTACCTTAAAATTTCACCCTCCTAGACTCCGTAGCTCCCGAGATATTAATTTACCCGTAAAAAACTTTCACGGGGCCATGCGTGTTACCCGCGGGTACGGGGTAGCTGAATTTAAATTTGCTCGGTCACACATGGGTGGGGAACGTTGCCCTAAATTTTCAGCTTCCTAGCTTTAGTGGTTCCCGAATTGAAAGTTGCGGACAAGTTGCTGCGGACACACACACACACACACGTACACACAAACATACACACAGACAACCCGGTAACAATATACGTTTTGTACTGCTGTTACACAGCGCAAGACGCATAAAAAAATAATCAAAGGATTAAGAATGTTTTGGTCCATCAAGTCGCATACATTCCTATTCAGCACCACAACTGGACCTTGTTAGTGTGGTACTTGTGATTTTGTTTAAAGAGTAGCTTTTGAAAGATTGCCGCATCCTGATTTGTTTTAATCGAATCGTTTGAAATAGTACAACACAGAATATTTAGATTAGCTGTAATTCTTAGTCTTTTTATTGAACTAACTAGCTGTTTTAGCAATTTCTTTGAGCAGTATTACATTGCATGATGATGCGCCTGATGAAGTGTCCTTCTTTTGGTTTGGTGTAGGAATTACCGGCTTTTTGATTCTCTCGACAAAAACGCTTCACAAGATTTAGTCGTTTCGATGTGCTGCTGGTGTGTGTTGGACATTTGCCAAATGTTGCCGCCTTTAGGCCGGGATGACCAGTGTTTGTGGAGGAGGAACTGCTTTGTTGGTTCCTCAGGTCGCTTTGCCCCATAACAAATAATTAAATTGTATTTCTGGTTCGTGTCCTTAATTATCTCCAGTGCGCGCTGGTTGAGTAATTATACTGCCAGCAAATATTGCTAAATTCCCCGACTTCGGCGGCTAGCAGACAGCGTGAATACCACCAGGC